CTGTCAAGATAGCAGCAGTAGGAGAATACATATTACTGCTTGTAATGTGATCACTGTCAAGATAGAAGCAGTAGGAGAATACATACTACTGCTTGTAATGTGATCACTGTCAAGATAGCAGCAGTAGGAGAATACATACTACTGCTTTTAATGTGATCACTGTCAAGATAGAAGCAGTAGGAGAATACATACTACTGCTTGTAATGCAATCACCAGCCCAAAGGCAACAATGGTAGGATACATACTACTGCTTGTAATGTGATCACTGACATGAGAGCAGCAGTAGGAGAATACATTCATTGAAATAATGCGTACAATTTTTACAAGTCAAAAAAATGACCTTTGTTAGATAAATGTACAAATCAACTGCCTAAATTTTATTGCAAATTGACATAATATATATTAGCCATATATATAACCTTGGAGATATAAAATTAATGTGCAATTGATACATAAAAAAAAAAAGATTACTAAATGAACACACCACAATGGATGAACCATTATGAAAAAAATTCTTGGTTTTGGCTAAATATTTTTTAAATGTTGATAGGCTGTAAAAAACATGATTTACAACTTAACATTGCTTTCTTCATAGTAAGTAGTAATATTTTCTTCAGAATTTTTCAAACATTGAGTGTTTTTAGTTTCTAAAACTAAATAATGACATTTAATATGAATACCCGAGTTACCATTCCTGCAAGAAGCCATTATTATCTGTTATACTTACCCAATCAGTAGCAAATTATAAAAAAAAAGTTAACTTGTAAACAAAGAAATGTCTAGACCTGCATCTTTATTAAAATCTTAACCAATCTATTGTACATTACGGGTAAAGTTACCAATGTTTTCTGAGAAAATACCATCCAATACTCTTAAGGTGAATAACAGATGAAAATACTGTTTTACAAATTTAACTGAAAAAAAACGTTTACTTTTTAAAATAGGAAAAAACTAAAAAATGAATTTATTTCATATAGATACTCACCTCTTGACACCACAAAATGTTATTACCTTGTGTATAATACCTCATAACTTCCTACACACACCACAAGCCTTGAACAAAGTTCCAACCTCTACACGTTTTAACATACTTTGTGCCACATCCTCCATGTACAATAATCCCCATTAGCACTAGCATGTGAACACAGGCTCATTCTTGAGGAAGTAAACTAAATGCACAGAAAGTGGGGAGGAAGAGTTGGAGGTAGTGCAGAGAGTTAGGGAAAATGTGCACTTCATAAATGCTTCTCACCTCTGTGCACCACAAAGAGCAAAAATACTATACAGAAGATGGTGGAAGGGCTGGTGCAGAGATGATCTCATTTCTGAAAACAGTGTCAGAAAGAGAAAGCCCATGGAATGTAACATTTATGAGGTAGGATGAGTAGCCTAGTTGGGCAGCACTCAGTAAGACCACACAAACCTAAAGCAGGGAATATTCTTTGCCCAGTAGAGGTAGTACAGCAAAATATATTGTCACAAGAATATTTTGCTAGGTGCTAATTTGTCGCCAAGGTTGATGGAATGGCAGACTGCTAAACCATACATTATCTCACAGGCAAACAGATTAGCATGAGTGTGTAGTGTGGCTAGGGCTACAAGTCAGGCCACTATATACTGAAGAAATCCTTACATGAGATTCTCACCACAGACATCAGGTAGAGGGTGTAGCATCCCAGATCTGTGTTTCAAGATGAACCCATGACTTATTCGGCTGAACCTAACCATTGAGAATGACTTGGTTCAAAACATAATGGGGTGTCCTGTACTGCAGTCCTACTTCCCAAACAAAGGGTGTGTCCACTTAGCCTTGTAACATTGGAAATCCACCGCCGGACGAGGAACTCTATATATCAACTTTCCACAAATGGGAGGAAGATTGTGCATGAAGGAGAAAATGCCAGAGAGATACATGGATTGTTGTCATGAGGAATTATGTCCCACACTGAGAGATGGTACCAGGCATGAGGGCATGGACACATCTGATGCTGTCATTTTTGTATTTTTTCAAATGCAGAATGGCTTGGATGATGGAAATATAGAAAATGCTGAAGCAATTTTGTGGAAAACCTCATCTCAACAGTAGACACTGAGCAACTGCAGATGGTTTTAACACTTTCTGTACTCCCCCATTCAATGTAGATTTTGGGTAAGTATTCCCTGTGAGGTAACACCAGCTACTTGGTGGGTTCTATCGTGTGTGTGTGTGTGTGTGTGTGTGTGTGTGTGTGTGTGTGTGTGTGTGTGTGTATAGAGAGAGAGAAATAAATAGCTTACAAACTATTCATTATATTAATTGTTAATAGGCGATTAAATCAGCACTGTAAAACAATAATGAATTAAATATCTCATTACCGTTATCGGTCCATGTTGTTAACTTATTATCATAATGGATAATGTCTGTGGTAATAGCACTCAAATGCGTTGGGGATATCCCATCTATCAGACAATATCGAAACGCTGATGTAAAACTAGTCAGCCTTCCTACAACTGGCTACTATAGACAGTGAAAGACAGTAAAAGCTGAGATGTTGTGGGTTTGATTGATTTTTTATAATTTACCATGATGGCTGACTAGATTGACATCAGCATTTGAATTTTGTCTGATAGATGGGATATCCCCAATGCAATTGAGTGCTATTACCAGACATTATCCATTATGACTATAAGTTGACAACCTGGACTGACAACGGTAATAAGATATATAGTGAATAAAGTGGTTGTAAGACCTCTAAAAGAAAGGAATAAATAACTTGTCATCAGAGCTACAGTGAAAGTGGAGAATGACAAATGAAGGAACACAAATCCAGGGTAGGTGAAACCTTCCTGTGGTGTAAGTAATGAGACACTATTGTGTCAAGGATCATCCAAATACCCACTTGCCAGAACTTATAAAAGGGATGTCAATGGTCCGTAGTTGGTACCAAATGAGTGGAAATGAGGTGAGGGGCAAGTTGAAAAGGTAGTGATGACAGGGCACCCATTTTGGGAGCAAATCCACTGAAAACACAAGAAGCTGGAGAAACCACTCAATGGGAAGGCTCCAAGCCCAGGAAAGATGGTTGATCCACCATCAGGGGCTGATTTTTAAAAACAGGATAGTTTGAAAACTGAACATGGTGGTTATGGGCCCAAAATAAAGTCTTTTTTTGGGGGACAGGTAGAAAGAAACAACAGAGGTGTCTGAATTGATTGTGATAAGAAAACCAGAAAGACGAGGTAGAAGATGATGGAAAGATTGTGAATAGTCACTAGTGTGAGGTCATAGAGACAGAGAGACTATGTCCCTGGAAACCAAATGCTAGAAGTGGATTAGACATCCAGAATTGCACCCCGTTGGAACAAGGGGAGTTAAAAGGTGTGGGAATTGGATTGGATGACATCAAGAACAAAGCCAACTATGCCCA